TTTTTCTACATTTTCATATATATTGTATTCAGTGTTGTAACTGAAATCAAAGTGTCTATTATTTTTGATTACAAATATTTGCACTGTAAAAATGATAAATAGTATTTTTCAATTCACCTCATACAAGCACTGTAGTGCAAACTCTTTGTTGTGAAAGTGCAATTTACAAATGTAGATTTTTTTTTGTTACATAACTGCACTCAAAAACAAAACAATGCAAAACTTTAGAGCCTACGAGTCCACTCAGTCCTACTTCTTGTTCAGCCAATTGCTAAAACAAACAAGTTTGTTTACATTTACAGGAGATAATGCTGCCCTCTTCTTATTTACAGTGTCACCAGAAAGTGAGGAAAGGTATTTGCATGGCACTTTTGTAGCTGGCATTGCAAGGTATTTACGTGCTAGATATACTAAATATTCGTATGCCCCTTCATGCTTCGGTCACCATTCCAGAGGACATGCTTCCATGCTGATGATGCTCTTTAAAAAAATAATGCTTTAATTAAATTTGTGACCGAACTCCTGGGGGGAGAATTGTATGCATTTTCCTGTTTTACCCGCATTCTGCCATATATTTAATGTTATAGCAGTGTCAGATGATGACCCACTACATGTTCATTTTAAGAACACTTTCACTGCAGATTTGACAAAATGCAAAGAAGGTACCAGTGTGAGATTTCTAAAGATAGCTACAGCACTCGACCCAAGGTTTAAGAGTCTGAAGTGCCTTCCAAAATCTGAGAGGACAAGGTGTGGAGCATGCTTTCAGAAGTCTTAAAAGAGCAACACTCTGATGCGGAAACTACAGAACCCGAACTACCAAAAAAGAAAAATCAACCTTCTGCTGGTGGCATCTGACTCAGATAATGAAAATGAACATATGTCAGTCCGCACTGCTTTGGATTGTTATCAAGCAGAACCCGTCATCAGCATGCACACATGTCCCCTGGAATGGTGGTTGAAGCATGAAGGGACATATGAATCTTTAATGCAGGGGTAGCCAACCTGTGGCTCCGGAGCCACATGCAGCTCTTCAGAAGTGAATATGTGGCTCCTTGTATAGGCACTGACTCCAGGGGTGGAGCTACAGGCGCCAACTTTCCAATGTGCCAGGGGGTGCTCACTGCTCAAACCCTGACTCTGCCACAGGTCCTGCCCCCACTCCACCCCTTCCTGCCCCCCTCCCCTGAGCCTGCCATGCCCTCGCTCCTCCCCTCTCCCCCAGAGCCTCCTGCACACCACAAAACAGCTGATCAGGAGGTGCAGGGAGGGAGGGGGAGGTGCTGATCGGGAGGGTTGCCGGTGGGTGGGAGGCGCTGGGAGCGGGGGAGTTGACAGGGGGCTGCTGATGTATTACTGTGGCTCTTTGGCAATGTACATTGGTAAATTCTGGCTCCTTCTCAGGCTCAGGTTCCTCCTTTAATGCATCTGGCACATAAATATCTTCAAATGCCAACTACAACAATGTCATATGAACGCCTGTTCTCACTTTCAGATGACATTGTAAACAAGAAGCGTGCAACATTATCTCCTGCAAACAAACAAACTTGTTTGTCTGAGCAATTGGCTGAACAAGAAGTAGGACTGAGTGGACTTGTAAGGTCTAAAGTTTTACATTGTTTTATTTTTGAATGCAGTTTTTTTGTACATAATTCTACATTTGTAAGTGCAACTTTCATGATAAAGAGATTTCACTACAGTACTTGTATTAGGTGAATTGAAAAATACAATTTTTTTTTGTTTTTTTACAGGGCAAATACTTGTAATCAAAAATAAATATAAAGTGAGCATATATTTGAAAATGTAGAAATCATCGAAAAATATTTAAATAAATGGTATTCTATTGTTTAACAGTGCGATTAATTGCGATTAATTTTTTAATCGCTTGACAGGCCTAGTAAAATCATCTACAGTAACTGCAGACAAGTAAAATGAAATACTTATTTACTTGCATACAATACTATTCAGTGGTCTTTTAACCAACTATGTACATTTCTGATTCTTCTGTGAATTCCCATTACACAGGAAAAATGGGGTTTCTAAAATCCCTATGTTGCAAATTATGCCAATTTGTGCAGATCAGGAGCATGTGGGGTGGATCAGAGGATGTAAAGCTCTGAAATGTGCAGACAATGCCTGTTCATCTCAATGGAGTGCCACTGTAGTTCTGATCACAGAACACCTATAGAGGCCTTTCCCAGTCTTTTGGGGAACCAACACTAAGGTACAGTAACTCCTCACTTAACATTGTTATGTTCCTGAAAAATGCAACTTTAAGTGAAATGATGTTAAGCGAATTCAATTTCCCCATAAGAATTAATGTAAATGAAGGGGTTTTTTTTGGCCATACAGTACAGTACTATAGTTGAGAGGTGCCCCAACCTTACCCCACACAGGCACAGCCCACTGGCACTGGAGACAATGAGGAAGGCAAGGAGGCTGAAGGTGCTGTAAGCTAGGAGATGCACGTTGCGCAGCAGCAGCGGCAGCTTCCCCTACTCTGCAAGCACCAGGGGCGGGGGGCTCAACCCTCGGCCCGCCCATGCTCCCCCTTCCCCCAAGCCCTCACCCTTAACCTGCCTCTTCTTCCTCCCCTCCTTCCCCTTTATTCCACATGCTGCGTCCTCATTTCTCCCTCCCCGCCTCCTGCCCGCAGAAATCAGCTGGCTTGCAGCGTTCAGGAGGCAGGAGGGAGGAACAAGGACATGGCGCGCAGGCTCCCCCTCCCTCCTGAACGCCGCAAACCAGCTGATTGCTGTGGGCAGGAGGCAGGGGATGGAGGGGGGAGATGCACTGTGTCCTCACTCCTCCCCCCTCCCTCCGGCAATCAGCTGGCTTGCAACGTTCAGGGGGCAGGAGGGAGGAGCGAGGACTCGGCACGCATGCTCCACCCTCCCTCCTGCCCGCGGCAATCAGCTGGTTTGTGGCGTTCAGGAGGCAGGGGAGGAAGAGGGAGCCTGCGCGCCGAGTCCTCGCTCCTCCCTCCTGTATGCCGCAAGCCAGCTGATTGCCGCAGGCAAGAGGAGGGGGAAGGCGCTGATCCTTGGGGTCTGCCAGCAGGCTGGAGGCACTGTGTGCGGGGGGGGGGGGGGGGGGGGCAATAGGAGAGCTGAGGGGGGGCTGCCAGCTATGGACAAAGCAGGCAGTCAAACGACATTATAGCGAAGCATTTCACAACATTAAATGGAGCATTTTCTGTAATTGAGCAGGGACGTAAGATTGAAACAACATTAAGCGAGAGGACGTTAAGTGGGGAGTTACTGTAGTATATTACACAGGAGAGGGTTTATAATGGCATTGGAGTTCCAAACTCTTTCTACTCTGGGAACGCAAGTACTGAGATTCTTCCTGTCCCCATCAAGTGCAAGTGAGGGAAGGCCTCTTGCATCCTCTTTCCCAATGCACATCTATACAGCTCGTCACAATCCAGCCCATGATGTTCTATATGTAACCAAAGTAACAAACACCTACTTATGTTATCATGGTGTTCATGCATAACAGGACAATGTTCCATACTTGTATCCCTGAACATATTACCCACTAAATACCTAGCTATGTAATTACTGTGTTTATATCCACCAATAGAAATGAACTTCTATAATTTGGGCCTTGGGAGGAATATGTAAGAAGTGGCTCCACGTACACATTTCTGTGCACACATACTGATTTCCTTTTAGAATATCCCTTTGGAGACAACTGTATTGATGACTTCTCGCTTTGAATGATTCCCTCCCATTTCCAACATCAGGTGCAGGGTTCAGTTAGGAGGAGGATTTAAGAGGAAAGATGGACAAATATACCAGGGCTGAAGGAGGATGGTCTGATCATAAGCCACCAGTCTAGGTTTGCTTAGTTGAGAGAGGAAGGCCATCTTCCATTTATTTGAAACAGAAAGAATCCTAAGCCACCTCAGGCCAGAGAGATTCTGCCTTATTGTCCACCATTCTCAACTTCCAAGTTTTTAATATCTAAGCCTTTAACTTGCACAATAGCTCAATTCTTAGCCCCAGCCGGTATTGTGCCTCAGGGTGACATACTGCCTTTTGGAGTGCCCAGATATTAGGCTCAAGGGGAATGAACCTTAAACAAAAAAAATCCTTGAGGTAGCATGCATTCCCCTCTGCAATTGGCAAGGTGTGCAGACAGGAAGTGGGACAGTACACTCCTCCCTGTACCCTTGGAATAATCTGCATTCCAAGGGACACCAGCAGAGACTGCATCTACAGCTGGCTTCTGCTCAAGGAGAACGAGGGAGCTGGGGGCGGAAGTTCTTGCACACCCATAGTCTGGCCCACACTCTTCTTTTTATGACACTTCCATGTCTTCCTCTGTCAAGATATTTGGTGCTTGTGAAAGATGAGTAAACTGGTTCAGACAAAGCTAGGGACATCTTGAACTCTTGTCCCAACTTGAACCAAGGCAGCATAAGGAAATGAGGATAGTAGTGGTGATCCACAATATGCTCCCCCCCGCCCCCCCACACACAGACTCCTTTCTACATGAAACAGGGCCTCTTCCCTGTAAAAATAATAATGACAAAATAAATCTCTCTCTCTCTCTCTCTCCCTCCACTCAGCCCCCCTCAGATGTTTGAAATGTGATAGGGCCTGCAGGTCTAGCAGTCACTTTGCTGGGTATCCGCTGTTGCTAAATTGCATCTTTTAAGGTTTGTAAATGCACAGGATTTTATTTCAGAAGCAGCAAAGGGCATGCTAAACCACCATTTCGATGTACCTTATAGATTATTTACATTTTGGTTGGCACAAAACCCCATGTTATCATCAGGCCACATCCTTTTCTTGTTGCTTGACAAGTACACTTTTTATTACTTAATTGTTTAGCCTAACAATACTCCTGCTTTGTAATTTTTTTTGCAAATAACTGAAACAAAAATACTGTTATAACATTTAAACTTTTATTTGAAAACCAAACAAGTGAACTGAATTAAAAAAAAAAAAAAAAAACTGTTGAAACAAACATTTTCTGACTTAGTCTATCTTTTAATATTCCTCCCCTTCTTCAGCTTCTGCTTCCACAGAATCTACACCCACTTCTTCATAATCTTTCTCAAGCGCAGCCAAATCTTCCCGGGCTTCAGAAAATTCTCCTTCCTCCATCCCTTCTCCAACATACCAGTGTACAAAGGCACGCTTAGCATACATCAAATCAAATTTATGGTCAAGACGAGCCCAGGCTTCTGCAATAGCAGTTGTATTACTCAACATACACACAGCACGCTGCACCTTGGCCAAGTCGCCTCCTGGCACTACAGTGGGAGGTTGGTAGTTAATGCCCACCTTTGAGGGAAAAAAACAGCAACCTTAAATTAGTATTTCAAAGTGTCCATTTCTTCTATTTTTCTCATAGTTTATTTAGCAAACTAAGACATGCTGACAATACTGCGCAAGAGGGATTACAATTCTCTGTGCTGGTACAATATTGCCAACTCTAAATGTTCAAAAATCCTAAATCCAGCTCCTGAAAATCATGGGATTGGCTTAAAAAAAAAATCAAACTAACTGTTGAGTTATTTTTATCTGCCTCCTGTTTTGAGACTTTAGTGTGCACTTGCTTCATATTTTTGAGCTAGTCTCTGAAACCATAAGGGCTAGACATTTTTTGAAATGAAAGTTGAAATTCTCATGCAATATCATGATTTCAGCAGCTGAAGTTTTAAGAAAAACACTAAACACAACCTCATTTTCAGTTGGCAACAATATGTCATCACAAATAACTTCTCAGCTTCTGACAACCTGTATGTGTATTTTTAGCATAATACCTAATTTTGTCCACAGCCCTGATTCTGCCCCCCTTGTTCATGCTGAGTAAGGGTCACACCATTTGACTCTTATTTAATGCTAAATGAGTAAATGAGTTTAACCGTAGGGTTCTTTTGAGAACTCAGTCTATCTTCTTACTCTGTGATAACTATAAGATGTCACTACTGTTTACTCATTAGCCTGCAGTGTTAGCAAGCGATGAGTGAAAAAGCTAGTTTATACTGTTTTGTGCTTCATCAACGGAATCAACTAAACCCCAATTACAGGGCCAAATTCTATTACATGTGTGTAACACCACTGAGGAAAACAGGGTTGGGTCAAGGACAAGTAAGGGTAGTTTGGTCAGCAGACTCTTTTCTATACGTGATGCTGCATAAGCCAGAAAGAATACCTTCCTTTTCAAATGCCAGGTTCAATTTGCAGGGTTTTGGAGAGGACATCAGGGCAGACCCTGTGGGGAAGACTACTAACAGAGGCTGGGTAGGACCAAGGAGACTTCTGAAGTCGGGTGGACTGAGAGACTATTGAACCCTGAAAAGGGCTGAAGGCTCTTTCTGTATTTGGTCTTCCGTGCCCTGCAATGCATGGACACTTGATTTGCTTGACAGCTAAATATTCATCCACCAGGTGCTGGGTGTGAACCACTAGCGAGCTGACCTGGGTAAGGGAGTAAACCAAGACATGGCTTGAGAACCTGATGCTGACCTGGGTAAGGAACCATGTTACAATTTCATAATCTGCTTCCCCTAAAGACATGGTTTTTTAAAAAAAAACAACAACTCTTTGATAGTTGAAATGTTAAAGTAGATAAATTCTCAGAGCAAGATTTTTATTAATAGCCTAACTTTTATTAGGCTACGTCACCATCCAGGCACCTGAATAAATAAGTGACCTGATTTTCAAAAATCCTGAGTACCAAGCAGTTCTTAATTAATTTAATGAGCGTTGTTCTGATTTTTCAGAGTGCTGACACACTACATGTATTTAGGAACCAAAAATATAGATTTAGAAGCCCAATTTTTGGGGGGAGTGGGGGTCAGGAAATCTTGGCCTAATAGCAATAGCCAGGCCACAGTGTACTTCTTAAGTAATTTGTGCACTATCAGGAGGATGAAGTCAGCCGCCATAATCATCGGGAGGTGTGTACCAGTAATCCACTAAAAAGACACTTCTGGTTTATGACAATAGACAAAGTGTTTCTGAAGCATTATTTAGAGTAAGTAGTATGTGAGGGGCAGACGATGTTACTTGTTCAGCTGGTACTGGGTTTGTGGTTAATTTACATTTCTTAATACCTTGAACGGCAAAGTTTTTAAACCCCTGTGAAAAAGAAAAGTGGATCAAAATCCTGTATTTGCATTCACTGGTACAAAATACACAGGCACTCATTCTCCTATTGCAGTGGTTCTCAACCAGGGGTCTGGAGCCCCCTAGGGGGCCTTGAGCAGGTTTCAGGGGGTTCGCCAAGCAGGGCCAGAATTAGACTCGCTGGGGCCCAGGGCAGAAAGCAGAAGTCCCATCGCCTGGGGCCCTGAGCCCCACAACCCGAGGCTGAAACCGAAGCAATGTAGCTTTGTGGGGGCCCTTGTGGTATGGGGCCCCAGGCAACTGCCCTGCTTGCTACCCCCTAACACCAGCCCTGGCTTTTGTATGCAGAAAAGCAGTTGTTGTGGCACAGGTGGGCCATGGAGTTTTTATTGCCGGGGGGGGAGGGGGAGAGAAACTCAGAACAAAAATGTTTGAGAACCCCTGTTCTATTGTATATTCCTTTAAAAACTTGGATCTAAGAATGTTAATCCCTCCAATTAGCTTAGTTATGCAATTTGCATTTGTGTTGAAAATGCACTTGAGTGCATTAGTTAAAGATGGCCACATTCCTAGGTAATTCCACTTAGATAAGTACAGTATTAGTAGGTTATGACTTAAAAAAACCCTGTAAAACTATAGTTCTGATCACAAATTTAAATTATGAAAGCAGCTACTCGTTTTTGCAGGCTTTACTCATGCATATTTAAAATGTAACCTGACATATGAATAGTACAACAATGTGCACACTACTGCATTGTAGTATGAAAACTACCTTCAAATGTTTGACTGACAATTCCTAAACTAAGCAATGTGACAAGTTTCTAAATACCTTGAATCCAGTTGGACACCAATCCACAAACTGAATGGTTCGCTTAGTCTTGATAGTGGCAATGGCTGCGTTAACATCTTTGGGAACAACATCACCCCTGTATAACATACAGCAGGCCATGTACTTGCCATGGCGAGGGTCACATTTTACCATCTGGTTGGCTGGCTCAAAACAAGCATTGGTAATTTCAGCCACAGACAATTGCTCATGATATGCTTTTTCAGCAGAGATGACAGGTGCATATGTTGCCAGTGGGAAATGGATTCGTGGGTATGGGACAAGATTGGTCTGGAACTCAGTCAGATCTACATTGAGGGCTCCATCAAAACGCAGTGAAGCTGTGATGGATGAGACAATTTGCCCAATGAGTCGATTTAGGTTGGTATAAGTAGGACGCTCAATGTCTAGATTGCGACGACATATGTCATAAATGGCTTCATTGTCTACCATGAAGGCACAGTCAGAATGCTCCAATGTTGTGTGCGTAGTTAGGATGGAGTTGTAGGGTTCCACTACAGCAGTAGAAACCTGTGGTGCTGGGTAAATGGCAAACTCTAGTTTGGACTTTTTGCCATAATCAACAGAAAGCCTTTCCATGAGTAGAGATGCAAATCCAGAGCCAGTGCCTCCTCCAAAACTATGGAAGATGAGGAATCCCTGCAGCCCTGTGCACAGATCAGCCTAAAGGAGAAAAAAAAAAAAAGCCACACAAAAAAGGGAAGGAAAGAAAAAAAAAAAAAAAAGACCGAACAAAGATAAGGACAAAAGAAAAAAAAAAAAAAAGCCACACAAAAGTGGGAAGGAACGGTCATTGAGGTCAAAGGACTTGATTCAGATTAGCACCAGTGTAAATGAAAACAGATTATGGCCCACAGCTGTGTGAGTGTAAATGGATTCTATTCTATCTTGCATGTATCAACACAATTAAGCCAATACCAAATGCAAGGCCAAATTCTGCTTAGTTACATTTGTGCAGCTTTACTGAAAACAAAGGGATTTTACAGGTATAAATGGGGCAAAAGATAGCCAGTATAGACTTTTTTTGTGATGGTATGCTGATGTATAAGTAACAAAGAACCCAATTTAACTCTCCCGGCAGAAGCTGCAGAGTTGGTAGTTAGAAAAAGGTGTTTTATTTACATGTAAATTAAGCAAATTTGATATAGATGCATGCTGAGAAAAACTTGAACCCTATTATGTCAATTTGAATCACTTTTCAAAACCAAACTGCATTTTTAGGGCGCAAATATACTTCTAGTATAGTCAAAAGCAAAACTCTAGATGATATAAATACGAGCAGGATTATTTTATTACAGTTGCACATAAAAGTATTGCTACAGTTAGACTGTCACAGTGTTTGTAAACTGGCTTAAAAATTCACACCTAGCAAAATCTTGATTTTAGCATTCATGCAATTACTTTCATTTTGAATTGAACCATGCCTTCATATGCATGCCTCGCAATAAAATTTCAGTAAGTTAAAATTAGAGAACTACTTTTAAATACCTAGATTTTAAATTAAGTCATTCTTAAGTAGTTCTAAGATTTTAATATGTTGAAATTGTATTGCAAGACATGTGATAGGAAGACAGTTCAATTCAAAAGAGTTGTGACTGCACATCAATGCAATGAAATTGTATTGCTGGCTTACTGTGCTTAAGAAATGTTAACTCACCTTGCTGAGAATATCACTTCACACAACAGCTTTTCAGGTTCTGGGAATTTATGTTCAATGTTTGGCTCATATTGGATTGGGCATCTATTTACCACTGGAAAAGGTTACAGGTAATATTTTCAAAAGCACCTAAATGACTTAGCAACCCAAGTCCCATTTTCAAAAGAGATGACAAACTCTATCTCTTTTGAAAATGGGACTTGGGTTCCTACGTCATTTACATGCTTTTGAAAATTATACCCTAAAAGTATTCATGATGCCAGGAGTAGAGTACAAGTACCATCTGCAAAAATTTCAGAGTAGAGATCACTAACAGATGTTACTGGGTTCTCATAAAAGAAATACTGTATTTCATATCCATTTGTCTGTGTCTAAGTAATATTGATGAAAAATGTTCAGCCAATAAAATTTGAGTCAAAGAAAGGAATCACAGAACATAAACTCTGTAACTAGAAAGCATTGGGTGTACAAGAAACACACCAGAACCTTCAGTTTTATGTATGTATTTACATAACCTTCAGTTTCACAATTATGTATGGCAAGAAATAGATTTGATGCAAATATTTTAAATACTGATCTTGCTCTTTGAACTCCTACCAGCTTGCGAATGCGATCTAGCACTAGATCAACAATCTCTTTTCCAATGGTGTAATGGCCTCTGGCATAATTATTAGCCGCATCCTCTTTCCCAGTAATGAGTTGTTCAGGATGGAATAGTTGCCTGTAAGTGCCTGTACGTACTTCATCTACAAAAATACAAAATATTCAGATGTAAATTTGGTCTGTTCCATTCTCTATCGATAATTTTGGCGTGCTACCTGAGCACTACATCTTACTTGACATTTATGTAGGTGCACCGGGGGAGGGGAACGGGGGGACATAAAGAGCCTCCCCTGCTATAAACACACATACATACACACCTTTTGTGTAAAGACCTGACAATTTCAGTCCCTTTGCTCAGGAGACATGATGTACCTACAAAGAGGTGGTTGTGGCCGATGTTCCCTATGACCACCAGGGAAAACTGGGGCCTACCCTGGGAGCCATCTCATGCCTTTAGATTGCTGTTAGAGACTGAGTTGAACTTTGCCTGCAGCTCAGCATAGATGTCAAATGGACAAAAAAATGGAAATACAATGCTGTGACAACAGTAAAACAATTAAAAATAAAACCACATTATTTTAAAGGACGGAAGTAATTTGGGTAAGGGGAAAATAAGACTTTTATATTTCTTCTTCTTTAAGTGATAATCTTAGAAGATTCATAGGAGCAAGGGGATCCAAAACTGGTAATTATATTTGCTCCTATATTTGTCTCACTACTTGTGCATCTGCCTCTCATCCGGACCACTGTACTTAATCTTCATAACTGAGGAAGGCAAACTGGGATTCCTATAACAGCTCCCAATACTATATTTCAGTCTGATTTTAAAAGCAACATATTACTACTGCATTGATGCTGGGTAGGGCGCCATGGAGGAGCTAAGAAGTGGTGATTTCCATCTTATGGCAAGGAGAAACAGCAGCAGTGACATTTCAAAAGGAAATCAATGCTTCCTGTATCAGTAAAGCTCTAAGGAGCTGCTTTTTCAAAGGATGTGTTCCATAAAGATCCTTAAAAATATTTTTTCATTGGAAAAAAAAAATATTAATTAGGAAGCCAAGCTCAAGAGAAATAACCCAGATGAGGATGTGCTTCCCAGGAGGCTGAAGGCATTGGGTCCTAACATTCCTGTGACACACAAGTTCTACCTATTTAGCCATTAACAGTGTCCGACCCTAATCAAGTCACTTCCCCTTTCTATGCCTTAGATGAGGGGTGGGAAAACTATGGCCTGGAGACCGGATCCAGCCCGCCAGCCGTTTTAATCTGGCCCTTGAGCTCCCGCTGGAGAGCAGGGTCGGGGGCCGCTCCACGCAGCTCCCGGAAGCAGCGGCATGGCCTCACTCCAGCTCCTATGCATAGGGGCAGCCAGGGGGCTCTGCTCTGCATACTGCCCCCTCCCCTGCCCCAAGTCCCACTCCTACAGCTCCCATTGGCCGCACTTCCTGGCCTGCAGGAGTGGCACTTGGGGAGGGGGCAGTGTGCAAAGTGGAGCCCCCTGGCTGCCTCTATGCAGAGGACCTGGAGCAGGGCCATGCCGCTGCTTCTGGGAGCAGCTTGAGGTAAGCGCTGCCTCAAGCCTGCACCTGATCCCCATCCTGCCCTCCAAACCCCTCGATCCCAGCCTGCAGCATCCTCCTGTACCCCAAACACCTCATCCTCAGTCCCACCCCAGAGCCCGTACCCCCAGCCAGAGCCTGCACCCCTTCCCACACCCCAACTGTGATCCCCAGTACCTGCCCAGAGCACTCCCGCCCTCCAAACCCCCCAGTACCTGCCCAGAGCACCCTCCTACACCCCAAACGCCTCATCCACACCCCACCCCAGAGCCTGCACCCACAGCTGGAACTCTTATCCTTCCCACACCCCAGTCCCCCGCCCCAGCCCAGAGCCCCCTCCTGCACCCTGAACTCATTATTTCTGGCCCCATCCCAGAGCCCTCAGCCCCTCCCACACCCCAACCCCAATTTTGTGAGCATTCATGGCCCGCCACAAAATTTCTATTCCCAGATGTGGCCCTCAGGCCAAAATGTTTGCCCACCCCTGCCTTAGATGGAAAGCCTTCTATAAAATGGAGATTACACTACTTACTCACTTTGGTAAAGTAACCTGAAATCCTCAAATGAAACATGCGTTAGAAATACAAACTGTTTCTATTTCAATTTATAATCTGGTCTGCTAATTGGTCCATTAGCCACTATAGCAGCGGTCACCAACCAGTCAATCGCAATCTCCGGCAGCAAAGCTGGGCTGCCACTAGGACAGGCTCCCTGCCTGCCCCGGCCCCATGCCACTCCCGGAAGTGGTTGGCACGGTCCCATGGGTGGAGGGGGACAGGGGCCTCCCTCCGCACACTGCTCCTGCCTGCAAGCACCGTCCCTACAGCTCCCATTGGCCAGGAACGGGGAGCTGTGGCCAATGGGAGCTGCGGGGTGGTGCTTGCAGAGAGGGGCAGCACACGAGGAACCTCATACCACCCATCCCCCCCGGCGCATTGGCCCCTTCCCAAGAGTGGGGTGGGGCCAGGGTAAGCAAGGAGCCTGCCTTAGCGGGAGCCACGCTGCGCCACCAACTGGGAGTTGCCAGAGGTAAGTGCTGCCCAATGGGAGGCCGCACCTCAACCAGCCGTTCCCCCTACCAGAGCCTGTACCCCAAACCTCCTCCTGCAACCCAACTCCCAGCCCCCTCCCAGAGCCAGCACCCCAAACCAGGCCAGAGCCCCCTCCTGGATCCAGCACCCCATATCCCCTCATGCACCCCAAGCCCCAGGCCTGACCCCCCTCCCAGAGCCAGCACCCCACCCCATCCTGCACCCCAACACTTTGCCCCAGCCCTGACCCCCTCCCAGAGCCAGCACCCTGTACCCCGTCCCGCAGCCCAACCCCCTTTACTCCCTCCTGCACCCAAACTCACTCCCAGAGCCCACACACTGCACCCCAACACTCTGCCCCAGCCTGGAGCCCCCTCCTGCACCCAAACTCCCTTCCAGAGCTTGCACCTCTCACCCCCTCCTGCACCCCCTACCCCAGGCTCAGCCCAGAGCCACCTCCCACACTGTGAACCCCTCAGCCCCAGCCCAGAGCCTGCACCCCCTCCCAAACCCCTACCTCAGCCCGGTGAAAGTAAGTGAGGGTGGGGGAGAATGAGTGACGGAGAGGGGGGATAGAGTGAGTGGGGCGGGGCTTTGGGAAAAGGGCGGGGCAGATCCTGGGTTGCCCTTAAATTCAAAAAGTGATCTTGGGTGTAAAAAGGTTGGAGACCACTGCACTGTAGTAATCACCTTCAGATAAACAAGATATCATTTACATTCTCCTCATATGCCACCAGTGCACTTCAAACGACCTTATTCATGAAAGGTCTTTACAACTGTGTATCTTCCCAGTTATGTTTGAGACAAAATAAACTGCAAACACTCATTGCAACAAAAGCATTTTAGGACATATGGTTTCTAAAAAATACAGAAGAACAGCATTTCAAACATGTTTTTTTTACTACATGAGTTGGAAGTACTTTAACGGTCAGTCAATATAATTTCCAGTACAATACCTGCCCCTGAACCTCCAACCAATATTTTGTGGATTTTCATATTTTCCTAATTTTTTTTTTAAAGTGTGCTTTCTTATCTTTGCTATCCACACAAAAGGGAAAACATTTCAGCCTCTTTTAAATACAATAGTCTGATTAACTTATTAACTTAACAGTAAAAATATGTAGATAGAAATGTATTTTTAAGTTTACAGTGTCCATTTAAGACTATCACAATCTAAAAGGTGGACTGTTCCCATTTCATTTGAAAAACTAAATGGAAAAACAAATTATAGTGAAGTATTCTTAAGTAAGAGATCTCTTAACTTCATACTGTATACATACCAACCACAGTTGGTTCGAGGTCCACAAATACAGCTCTGGGCACATGTTTACCAGCCCCTGTCTCACTGAAGAAAGTATTGAATGAATCATCTCCACCTCCAATGGTTTTGTCACTGGGCATCTGACCATCAGGCTGGATTCCATGTTCAAGACAATATAATTCCCAGCATGCATTGCCAATCTGAACACCAGCCTGACCAACATGGATAGAGATACATTCACGCTGTAAAGGAGGACAAAACGGGGAACAAACAGATTGATTTCACAGACTCTAGGCCCAGAAGGAACCATTGTGATCACCTAATCTGACCTCCAGTACAGCACAGGCTAAAGATCTTCCCCAAAATAATTCCCAAAATATATATTTTAGAAAAAACATCCAATCTTGATTTTAAAATTGTCAGTGATGGAGAATCCACCATGAACCTTGGTAAATTGTTCCAATGGTTAAATAATCAAGTACTGTGCAAAATTTCTTCCATCTTCCAGTTTTAACCCTTATGAATGAAATTAGTTGTACAAGTATTATATTATCTCATCTTCCCCTTCCAGCATGCTGCATACATATTATCATTTATAAGTGTTCCTGTTAGCTTCCTTTACACCTTTAATTTGCATGTTATTTTTCATTGAATAATATTATATACTCAGGGCAGAAATGTCTATATTAATGATCCCCAAAACATCCTTTCTTAGCTTAATCAAAATTACTATAAACACTAAATCTACTTCTGGTCATCTGCCTGGCAATTCTTCATTCTGTGCCTCCACTACTGGAGCCTTTGAGGGTCCAGAACCAAATCTCATAATCTGCCTTTAACTTTCCCTGCTGAATCTAAACAGACCTCATGTACTTTACCACTACTTGCTCAGCAATATTCCCCCCTCCCCACCGGGCAGCAAATCTCCTTCTCTTTCTCTATCTAGAAATGTCATCCTTCAGCCCCTGAATGTCACTTTACCTGCTCAGGAGCACCCTTTAATCCTACAACTATCATCCCATAAGTCACTTCTGTACCACACACCCATGCACCTTTAAATCAGCCTCCTCCATCAGCTAAATGGCCCCCGGACCCTGTATCAGGGAGTAAATAGGTTGGGGGAGGGAGAAAAAATGGGCTCCATTGTGCCTGTGCCCCCTCTTCTCCACCTGGCCGCACCATAGCTTCCTTGTCTCTTCAAAGTCTCCTTGATTTCACCCCAGTTGCCACCTTATTCACTCCAGATCCCTTATCTCCCCGAGAACTTTCATGCTCAAGTGCTCCCCTCACTATTCTATTCCAGGCCCCTTTTCAACACCACTGGCCCAGCTTCAAGTCCTCGGGACCTCTGCCCTAATGGCTCCCCACCATGGCGCGAAAAACTCCATCTCAAAAGATCGAATCTGCTCCAGGACTGTGCCCGCCAACCGCCTCTAGGCCACACGTGGTACAACCCCATTGGCTGCCGGGCAGACTCCCACCCCCCGATTGGCTGCGCGCGCGCTCCTCTCCACACAGGGAAAGGGGGCACTTTCCCGAAGCGCAGAATACTGGGGCATGGGTTGGCGCGCAAATATCCGCGCGCGCGCGCTTTCCCCTCATTCTCATTTCCCCTCCGCGGCCTCCCCATGTGCTCCCCTTCGGCCTCAATCCTCCCTTACCACGCTGCAGCGCGCTACACAACCCAGACTCCCTGTCCGCCTCTGCCTGGGCGAGGGGCCAACCACCAAAGGCCAACAAACTCCCCTCGCGGCTGCGTACGCTGCTACAGTTCCACTGACTGCCCACGTTCCCCCAATTTCCACCTCACTTTCTGCTCAAGCGCTTCACGCCCGCGGAAGCTGCTCCCCTTCCCATTCTCGCTCTACCTAACGGCCGCCGCGGCTCCCTCACCGCAGCGCATCCCCTCAACCCCGCCTGCAGCTCCCTCCAGTCTGCTGCCTGGTTTCCTTCCCCCGCGCGGTACCCTATAGTTCAAACCCCGCGTCCCTGAGGCTCCCGCTCCCCACCATGGTGCCTCGTGAACGGGGGAACGCCTCAAAACCACGAGTCTACGTCCGCCTCTGCCTGCTAGACGCCCCAACTGTGAACAGCTAACCGCCGCTGCCCCTCGCCTCGCGCTTTCTGGCTCCACGCGGTATCACCCCATTGGTTGGCGGCCAGCCTCTCGCGCCCTGCCCCCTACCCATTCATTGGCTGGGCGCGTTCCTCTGCCACGTGGGGCTGAGACAGTTGGTGGCATGTCACAGAATGAACGTTGGCCCAAACGTGATGAGGTTTTTTTTTTTTTTTTAAAAACTACAACAATCCTGTGTTGTGTTTTTGGTCTTTCCCTTTTGATTCTTGAAGAGCCCTTGCCCGCTCTAATTAGATCTGTGCACTGTCCCACGTGTGCTGGTTAGGTGTATTAATCCCCCATCTGTTCAGCTGCCCCCCCTTCCCATTCCACTCAGTTCAGCCTCTCTGTGCTCCCATCACTTCACCCCCCTCTCAGTTCTGACCCCTCTGCTCCCCCCCTCAATTCAGCCTTCCCCCAGCCTCACCTCTGGAGTTCTTCAGCCCCCTCTCCCAGGCCTGGGGGCCGCAGCAGGGTCCCATCTCCACTTTCCCAGGCTGGGAGGGGCTTCTCCAGTAGAAGCTCTTCACCCCCTCTGGTTCTCCCCAGGCTGGGTGCTGCAGGGGTGACAGCCTGTCTGTTTTTCTCATAGGAAGGGAGGAAGGAATGAAATTGTGCTGAGCTGCAGGTCCCTTTACTCACTCCTCTCCCCAACCCTCCTGTGAGAGTGGCCAGTGGAGGGGAGAGACTCTGCCAGCTTCTAGCATGGCTGAGCTTTGCAAGAAGTGCTCTAAGAAGCTCTAACATCAAACCACTCACCCCAAAATGGCAAGAGTTAGCAATAGTGTGACCTTGCAGGCCTTGGGCTCTAGGAGGCGCGATCAGCAAACTGTAATGGCCACTTTCCCTTTCTGTGTAACAATAGCCACTCTTCGTCTCACTCTATAATAGCCGCTTTCAAGTTTTCTGTAATGGTGACATTTTCCTTCCCCACTCCCTCTTTATAAGGGAGGCTTCCCACAGTTCTCACACTAATGGCTGTAGCCTATAGGAACAGGTAGTATACCTTTAAATAGTTGTGAACCTTCTACTGGCACTAACTGCACTCTGTATTTCAAAAGTTGCTGGAAGGTTGCCAAGGAGCACATTACTTAAACACATAACTAGGCCTTGCATGTTTGTATAGAGTTAATAAACAGGGTTATTTGGAACCTATCTGTGTGCCTGTGGTTTCCTCATATTGTTGTGTAAAGAACAAAGACAACAGAAAGGTTTCTGCCCTCTCTTTGTAATAGCAACTTTCAGCTTGAAGGATACTAGGTAGGGAAAAGATATCCATCCTTTGACCCAAACTTAGAGCCTCCCTTAAAGCACTGTTTCACCACATGGGTGGCATAGTGGAATTAAGTCAGTTATGTCGTCATGAATGCAGAGGTGAATCAGGCAGGGAGTTTAAGAATTAAGCTAACGTAACTTGCATGCCTAAGGAACAGAAGAGAGGAATGTAGCAATATAAAAACATTACACATAAAATGTACCCTTGTTTGGGCCTAAAGTACTGGACAGTGCCCCTTTTCATTATACGTATTTATTTACCTTGTAAAAGCACCCATCACAAAAATACTTGTTAACTACTGTCAATATTGGAAGTCATCCACCATTAACTATGTATCTTCAACACAATAACCAACCTCAGACAGAAATACCTGAGAAAATAGATGGTCCTTTCACTGTGTTCTGAAGATCAGTAGTCTTTGGCTCATTTGACCAGTTGATGAAATGAGTTCTAGAGTCAGGGAACCTCCACTGAGAATACTTTGCCCCCAGATTATCAAATCTAGCAGTAGTCAGCAAAAGTGTCTCAGTTGAATGGCACATGGGTGGAGAGGAGATTAGGTAGTCAGGATCACAAGTTTGGTTAATAAAGGTAACTGTGTTGATATAATAGACTTATGTAAGGCGTTTGACTTATTCCCACATGACATTCTAATATAAAAAATTAGCACTATACAAAATCAATATGGCCCATCTTAAATGGATTAAAAACTGATTAACTGGTAGATCACAAAAAGTAATTGTAAATGGGGACTCAACATCCATTCGGGGTGTTTCCAGTGGGATCCCGCAGGGATCTGTTCTTGATCCTATGCTATTCAATATCTTTATCAATGACTTGGAAGAAAATATAAAATCATTGCTGGTAAAATGTGTAGATGAAACAAACTGGTGAAGTGGTAAATAATGCTGGGGACAGGTCAGTGAGATGGACCAATCTGGAAAATTGAGAAAAGTGGGCTCATTTTTACAACATATGTTTTACAGCCAAATGCTACAATCATACATCTAGGAACAAAGAATGTAGGTCACGCTTACACGATGGGGGGACTGTATCTTGGAATGCAGTGACACTGAAAAGGACTTGAGGGGGGTCGGATCATGACAGATAACCAACTGAACACAAGCACCTAGTATCTCGTTCAAAAGAATTCAGATCAAATACAGACTGTTATTAAAGTGTTTAGTTATTTGAATCAACTTTTATTCAAGATTGCAGAGGAAAGCAGAGTTGAAAATGTGAAATTTTAAACGGGTCCTTACTTTTTTTCTGTCATCACCTGATTTTTTCATCTGGATGATACTTCATTAACATCTTAATACGGCTGGCACGGACCATAGTGGGAGTTTCTGTTGTGCAAGAATTTCAGGCTCCTAGTGTGACTATATATGGCAGAATGTGTTAGGAATAAACATTAGAGAGGAAATCTCTTCTCATTTTGCTCAGAGCAACCAGAAAGTTCAAATGGCAAAAAGCATTGACTCAGAAAGACCAATGTGTTTTTTTGTTTTTAATGTCAACGTTTATTCAAAAGTGTTTCTTATGAATTTTCAGACTGCTGAGCTGAGCAAAAGAGGTGTTCTTCTACTTTAGTCTGCCTCTGAGTCTTGATCTCAGACGGTTACTGTGGGCAGCCAGTTCCGTTTGTCTCTGTCTGCAAAATGGGAAATGGTGTGTCTGGGCTTCAAGCAGAAAAGAAAAAAAACTCACACACAACTACAAAACTTCACAAATAGTAGTTGTAGATTTCAGGGGTTGGAGCT